ATAGAGGTGAGGTGGGGGTGAGGGAGGATGATAGAGGTGAGGTGGGGTGAGGGAGGATGATAGAGGTGAGGTGGGGTGAGGTGAGGTGAGGGAGGATGATAGAGGTGAGGTGGGGTGAGGTGAGGTGAGGAGGATGGATAGAGGTGAGGTGAGGTGGAGGTGAGGTGAGGTAGGATTTGAGAAAATGAAATCTGTATTTTATGTATTTTGATGTTTTTTTTATCCCATGGTAGTTCTTTTCCTCCATGGTAGTTCTTTTCCTCCATGGTAGTTCTTTTCCTCCATGGTAGTTCTTTTCCTCCATGGTAGTTCTTTTCCTCCATGGTAGTTCTTTTCCTCCATGGTAGTTCTTTTCCTCCATGGTAGTTCTTTTCCTCCATGGTAGTTTTTCCTCTTGGTATTTTTTCCTCCTTGCCAATTTTTCTGTTTTTTTCTGTTTTTTTTCCTTCTGCCGACTACAACACTTAATTTTTATGATAATTAAACGTAATGAAAAAATATTTCTTACTTTGTTTTGGGTAATTATACGTTAACTCCTCATTTGCATAATTTCATCATTTTTTATTTGTTTATGTCTACATTATATTTTTTAAGCCACCTCAAGAATATTCACTCCAGATTATTTCACCTGAAGATTAACCACCCTAACGAAAGCTAATGTGACCGAACCTAACCTTACGAAAACCTAACCTATCCTAACCCCACCCAAACTGACCTGACCTGACCTGACCTGACCTGACCTGACCTGACCTAACCTAAATCATTAAAAACGGTGCGAAGGAACAGATGACAAAACAGGTTCTTACCTATTCCATACGAATATGTGAGTGGGCTAAGTCACTTGACCCTATTTCCTGTAGGGAGATTGGTAAGGGAGATTGAGAGGAAGGAGGGAGAAAGGTAGGGTGAGAGGGAGGAAGGTAGGGTGAGAGGGAGAAGGTAGGGAGAGAGGTAGGAAGGTTGGGAGGAGGGGGCAAGGTAGGGTGAGAGGGAGAAAGGTAGGGTGAGAGGGAGGGAGGTAGGGTGAGAGGGAGGAGGTTGGGAGAGGGGCAAGGTAGGGTGGAGAGGGAGAAAGGTAGGGTGAGAGGGAGGAGGTTGGGAGGAGGGGGAAGGTAGGATGAGAGGGAGGAAGGTAGGATGAGAGGGAGGAAGGTAGGGTGAGAGAGAGGAAGGTTGGGTGAGAGGGAGAAAGGTAGGGTGAGGGAGGAAGGTAGGGTGAGAGGGAGGAAGGTAGGGTGAGAGGGAGAAAGGTAGGGTGAGAGGAGGAAGGTAGGGTGAGAGGGAGGAAGGTTGGGTGAGAGGGAGGAAGGAGGTTGAGAGGGAGGAAGGTTGGGTGAGAGGGAGGAAGGGAGGTTGAGAGGGAGGAAGGTTGGGTGAGAGGGAGGAAGGTTGGGTGAGAGGGTGAGAGGGAGGAAGGTAGGGTGAGAGGGAGGAAGGAGGTTGAGGGAGGAAGGTTGGGTGAGAGGGAGGAAGGAGGTTGAGAGGGAGGAAGGTTGGGTGAGAGGGAGGAAGGTAGGTGAGAGGGAGGAAGGTGGGTGAGAGGGAGGAAGGTAGGGTGAGAGGGAGAAGGTAGGATGAGAGGGAGTGTAATGAGACAAAGATTTAGAGTAGACGATATAGAGATAGAATATAAAAGAGAGGAGTATAAAGAGAGGAAGACTTTGGTAGCGTGGCCGTGATAGTTATTTACTCTTATCGTACACTTATCGTATCTTATACGTCAATACACATCTATTACGTTCTTAAAGGCGACTTCTCAAACACTGCTTCGTTACAACTCTTTATTAATTACGAACATGACATGGACACATTAATAACACCTTCTATTGAAGTTACTAGGACATTATGTTTACGTTACTAGGACATCATATTACGTTACTAGACACTCTGATTCTCGGACACGAACATGAAATGAATACACTTCCCACGTAAGTAACTCATCCCACGGAAAGCTCTGACAAACACTCACGTGACCTAGGGGAGGCCTAGCAGGGAGACTGCTTAGCTGGAACACTGGTGTCGGGAGGGCGACTGCTTAGCTGGGACACTGGTGTCGGGAGGGCGACTGCTTAGCTGGGACACTGGTGTCGGGAGGGCGACTGCTTAGCGGGGACACTGATGTCGGGAGGGCGACTGCTTAGCTGGGACACTGGTGTCGGGAGGGCGACTGCTTAGCTGGGACACTGATGTCGGGAGGGCGACTGCTTAGAGGGGACACTGGTGTCGGGTGGGCGACTGCTTAGCTGGGACACCGGAGGGAAGTCTCGGTCCTGACCGGAGGCGACTTGCCTCCGGCCTCTGACTTCGGCTCGAGCAGGCCTGGTGGTGTCGTAGCTGGCCACCTTGTTACAAGACAACTACTTCTCTGCGAATCCTCGAGGGAGGACCAGGACGTCCTATATATTGGGAAGCGAGCCGTCAGGTTCAGCTGGCCGGGGGGGGCGGCGAAGGGTCTCCTTACATTTTGACCTCGCAAATGTGCGGTCAGGCCTGGACCTTTTCAGAACTATCTGGGAAAGTCATCAGGCGGGGCCGTGTGTATATTGGGAGAGCAACCGTGAGAGTTCCCCTACACTTGACTTCCCAAACGTCGGGCCAGACTGGAGTTTCTGAGATGTAAGGAGAAGTCGTCAGGTGGGGCCGTGTAACACGAGAGGCCTTGAGTTGGGCTCCAAGGGTTACAAGTGACCTGGCTAATTGTGAGGTCAGGTCTGGACTTCTTTCTGCGGTGTAGGTTATTGTATATTGGGAGAGAGTCGGCTGGTGCCTTCTTACATGTGTGACATGGGAGGGGGAGCTAGTTGGTTTACAATCCTTGGTCAACCGCAGAGTTACCCTACACTTGACCTGGGCTAATGTCGGGACAAGTCTGGCTTTCCTCGCGATGTAAGCTGTGGTCTGACAACCCCTCACTACAGAGAAGGTAGGATGAGAGAGGGAGGAAGGTAGGGTGAGAGGGAGGAAGGTAGGGTGAGAGGGAGAAAGGTAGGGTGAGAGGGAGGAAGGTAGGTGAGAGGGAGGGAGGAGGAGAGGGAGGAAGGGAGGTTGGAGGGAGGAAGGTTGGGTGAGAGGGAGGAAGGTTGGGTGAGAGGGAGGAAGGTAGGGTGAGAGGGAGGAAGGTAGGGTGAGAGGAGGAAGGGAGGTTGAGAGGGAGGAAGGTTGGGTGAGAGGGAGGAAGGGAGGTTGAGAGGGAGGAAGGTTGGGTGAGAGGGAGGAAGGTAGGTGAGAGGGAGGAAGGTAGGGTGAGAGGGAGGAAGGTAGGGTGAGAGGGAGGAAGGGAGGTTGAGAGGGAGGAAGGTTGAGTGGAGGGAGGGAAGTTGAGAGCAGGGAAGGAGGAAAGGAGATTGGAAAGAAGCGAGTGGTGGAGGGAAAGGGGAAGGGGTGAGGAGGGAAGAAGGGAGAGGCGTAAAGCAAAGAAGAAGGACTAATTGGATGTGGTAGAGAGGAAATGAGAGAATGATAAAGAACGAGGGAGAGAGGGAAGAAAAATTAATGAATGGGGAAGAGGCGGTGGGGAGAATGATGTTCCTGAAGCGAGTTGAGAGAGAGAGAGAGAGAGAGAGAGAGAGAGAAGAGGAAAGAGAGGGTGCTGGCGTGTGCGTGTTGTGCCTCCTCCAACCCAGCCACGGCAGCAGCTGTGATAGTGTTATACTGGACGGCGCGAGGGCGGTAGAGGCGAGAGCTGGAAATATACTCGCCGGGTAGCGTACTGTGGCAGAGTCGAGCTAAAGTTACCCAGATCATCGTCTCTGTTGTGTGATATCTGCCATTGTGTGCGTTTGAACTAATGCCCTAATAGGGGGAGGGGTTGTCACTATGGCGTTGAGTGTGCGTTATTGACTTCTGGCGTTGCTACTATGGCGTTGAGTGTGCGTTATTGACCTCTGGCGTTGTTACTATGGCGTTGAGTGTGCGTTATTGACCTCTGGCGTTGTTACTATGGCGTTGAGTGTGCGTTATTGACCTCTGGCGTTGTTACTATGGCGTTGAGTGTGCGTTATTGACCTCTGGCGTTGTTACTATGGCGTTGAGTGTGCGTTATTGACCCCTGGCGTTGTTACCATGGCGTTGAGTGTGCGTTATTGACCTCTGGCGTTGTTGTGAGTACAGTGTGTTGACTACACCCCTCAAGTATGTTCCTCACTCAAAATTTCATTCGACGTTGAGAAACTGATGGAGTACTGCAGTGCTTTGAGTGATTGACATAAATACAGGTGCTTTAGACAGTGACATGATCTTCTGACAGTGACTTATGTTATTAGTGGCAGTGACATGATCTTCTGCCAGTGACTCATGTTATTAGTGGCAGTGACATGATCTTCTGCCAGTGACTCATGTTATATTAGTGGCAGTGATTCGCGTCTGATAGCGGAAGTGACACAAGCACTTTGACAACAGTATCTGATGAACTAACACATACTAGTGACAGTGACTGACATGACCTCTTGATTAACAGACATGTATGTCAGAACATGACCGTGACTATTCTTGACATGAACCATTCAAAGACAGAGGAAAATTTTCTTGACAGGAACATAAAAAAATATTTAAAAAGAAAATTTACTAGGAATATGAGTGCAATTATTTAGACCCCAATCAATCCACAAGTGTTACCCTAAGAAAACAAAGCCATATTTTCTTGACAAAAAACGCAACAACAAAGAAAAAATATTTGACAAAACACAAAGGCAAATTTTCTTGACAGTAGCACAGAATGAAGACAAAATCTCTTACCAAGAAAGACAAAGAAATTTTTTTTTCAATACACAAGACTTCCTGTGGCAAATGCTCATTTCCTGGATAAGAACAAATTTTCTTCACAACAACACAGTGAAAAAGACAAATTTTCTTGACAGCAACATAAAACATTAGCAAGAGAAGACAAGTTATTTTCTTGAACATTCTCTCGACTTCAAAAACAAAATACTGTGTTCACTCAAGTTTACTTTCCTTCGTGTACTGGTAGAGTTAGGTAGTGCTCTCTCTCTCTCTCTCTCTCTCTCCTTAAGACAGTCTATTGTTAGGTTAGATTAGGTTTAGTGTGGTTAGGTAAATATGTTAAATAATAAACGTTTGCCAATATAATGCAAGCAACAGAGGCTTTGTCCGTGTGTGTGTGTGTGTGTGTGTGTGTGTGTGTGTGTGTGTGTGTGTTTCCCGTGAACTAATTATCTCATAACTTACCTACACCCTGACATAACTCACCCTGACATAACTCACCCTGACATAACTACCCCTTGACATAACTACCCCCTGACATAACTACCCCCTGACATAACTAATTCCCTTAATCTACCTGGACCAAAATAGCCTTAAATGAGAGCTAACATGACACCTGTTCACCATATTAACTCACAGGTCATTTACCTCAGGTGTGTTGCTGAGATGGACACAAACCAACGCGTATTTACGACTCTGTTACGTGTAGTCGACCCGGACTGATGACTCAATATTCTACATATATATTATACAGTATCTCAGTCGTTATATTTGTGTTTATTATCATCATAGTGAATAACAAAGCGTACTCAATTTGTACTCAAGATATGATTAATAAGACATTGTTCTATAGTACTGGTTGAGTGAATATGTACTCAATATATACACAGGATATGATAAATAAGACATTAAATTAAAGCAAAATTATTAGTTACTGAGAGAGACATAAGTGAGCAATGATGAAATAAAAGAAAACACCAAGAGGCAATAACTACACCGATAAGTTGTTCAGCAGTGGACAGTTAAATATTGACTTCCAGCACAGTACCCGCAGGTGGATGTGACACAGTACCCGCAGGTGGATGTAACACGACTCAAGTACACGCCCACATTAAGTCCTGGGCTGCCCTGCTGAGGTAGTGTACTTTGACAGCGTCCTACAGAGCTGACTGAACCCACCCACACACGTGCAGCTTTATACGTCCTCGTCCACCACAAACGCCCACGTCCATCTACATACGCCCACGCTTAGCTCCACACACAGACACCCACAACTTGGGAGAGCTGCCCGTGGGTTATGATAGTGGGGGCGCTGATGGACTGGGCTGAAGACTTCAACACCACAATGGGCGGCGAAGACCTCGTCATAGGCCAAGGCACCAACGAGGAGGTGGTGGGCGGCGGGGACGAGTGGCCGCCCACTCCGCCCATACATTCTGACCTCCACAACCTGACCAGTCATCACCCCAACGAAACGGTGAGAGAGAGAGAGAGAGTCACATCATTATAACTCATCAATAATCTCCAGAATAATGGAGAAAGTAATTAGTGAGTGAAAATGGAGAGCAATTTATATAAGTTTTAATAAAGGGAAACATTTAGAAGATTATGAGACCTTTAATAATATGGACACTATTATACACACACACACACACACACACACACACACACACACACACACACACACCTTCCCTTTACACAAACAATTATAAGGTCCTCCTCTCTAGCTCTCCTCCCAGATACTCACTGCCTCTCTGGTTGTGTTGACACTGGGCCCGTAGTGTACTATTGGACACAAGATATACCACCCATCCGGAGTCCAACCCATTATCACCCTTCTACCACCCACCAATCTAACCTAACCTAACCAAAACTAACTTAACCTAACCAAAACTAACTTAACCTAACCAAACTATCCTAACCTAACCAAACTAACTTAACCTAACCAAAACTAACCTAACCAACACTAACTTAACCTAACCAAAACTAACTTAACCAAAACTAACTTAACCTAACCAAAACTAACTTAACCCAACCAAAACTAACTTAACCTAACCAAAACTAACTTAACATCAATTCCTTCGGTAGTACAACCCGACACACACACACACTGGTATGAATTTCAACATAGACTTTCAGAAAACTGGCCAATACATTAAAAGTTTCAACTCCTCGCTCGCCAACAGGTCGGAGAAAAGCTAATGAAGGTAGAGTTTCAGGCCAGTTTGAGCAAATATTTGGATTCTCTCTTCACGTTCTAACTTAAGTAACACAGACGTACTGTATATTCTGAATTTCTTAGTTAGACCGTCAGTTTCTCGTTTAGTGTCAGCCTGTCAGTCTCTCGTTTAGTGTCAGCCTGTCAGTTTCTCGTTTAGTGTCAGCCTGTCAGTTTCTCGCTTCAGCCCGTAGTCTCTCGTTTAGTGTCAGCCTGTCAGTTTTCCGTTTAGTGTCAGCCTGTCAGTCTCTCGTTTAGTGTCAGTCTGTCAGTCTCTCGTTTAGTGTCAGCCTGTCAGTCTCTCGTTTAGTGTCAGCCTGTCAGTCTCTCGTTTAGTGTCAGCCTCTCAGTCTCTCGTTTAGTGTCAGCCTGTCAGTCTCTCGTTTAGTGTCAACCTGTCAGTCTCTCGTTTAGTGTCAGCCTGTCAGTCTCTCGTTTAGTGTCAGCGTGTCATACTATAACTAGTATATACTTTTTCAACTGAGGCAGACACATCTTATAGTAACAATAGTTATACGTAATAAATAATTCAGCATACCAAAACAACTAAGAAAATGTCGTAAAAAATATAAAATTAGAAGAAGTTACCTTATGAAGGTGTGGCAGGAACTAAAGTAGCCATAGAGGTTCTTGACTATTAATTAAGAGTAAAGTTCACGAGGTAACGTCACATTTCAAGGTGTACCGTTGATGCGTTCTCTCTATTTCCCGCTACAACATTTTCCATTACCTAGAAAACTTTCAGTGTTAATGGAGGTTAAGCGAAAATTGTCTTACGGGGGAGAATCATCGGGTGGTGTGACAAGTTATAATCTCTCGGGATAAAGTCTGTCTCTGGATTAAAGGATGGGAAGAGTCTGGGGGCCTAGCAGACCGCCCTCAACCAGGTATGGTGAGGAGGACAAACACTGGACCAGGAAATAAGGGCTAAGGTACAAGATGAATCATTCACTTATACGAGAACAGTGTGGCGGCGGTTACATGAAGCTAGAATTCACCGTCGAACACCAGCTGCTAACAACAGACCGGCTGGGAAGGTGTAAAACAAATGGAGGTCATGTAGTATATTTATGCAGGCAAGCTTTCATAACTGTGAATACCTTTACGGTGATAAAAATATGTTGGCATCAAAACGTTAATACGTAATCATGAGTGAAACTGAGTGAAGGGAAGATGATCTGGGGCACGAGTGAAGATTGCAGGGGTGTGTGGACCAGAAAGGGGGGCAGGTGAGCAGGGCCAGTAGTGAGTCAGTGGTTCCAAGAATGGCGTGGAGGGTGAATTCCAAGAGTACGATCAAAGGGTGCGATCTGAACCCCAGTGAAAAATATCTGAGGTTTTGTTGGGAAGATGGACGGTTAGGTGGTGGACTAAACAGCAGGTCCGGGAACATACTGAACCATGGCTGAATGGGGTGGAAGGAGGGCCACGATATCCTCCACAAGATCGTGACTTTCGTTGTCCGTGAGCTAGAGGAAACGGTGACAGTGCCGTGACGCTGAATGCCTTATTATTTTTTTATGTTTAAGATTTTTTTTAAAATATCTCTTATAAATTATACAAGGTGGCAGCCGCCTCTCGCTCTCCTGGGGTACTTAGCTTCACTCCCGTTCCACAAATTTAAATTTAAATTCGTTGCGATTATAATAGACTAATATTTCTTATTGTGGCCTGGGTGCACGAGATGAAGCATAGCTACTTTTGTTGTTAATCTCAAATGTTCTGGCTGACCAAAAATAACAACTATCATTCTTGTTGTGAGAAAAGAAAATCACATTACCACCTGCAGGCGACGGTGCCAGGTGCCCACCCCCCTACCCTGCCAACACCACCTCCAGGCGACGGTGCCAGGTGCCCACCCCCTACCCTGCCAACACCACCTCCAGGCGACGGTGCCAGGTGCCCACCCCCTACCCTGCCAACACCACCTCCAGGCGACGGTGCCAAGTGCCCACCCCTACCATGCCAACACCACCCAGGCGACGGTGCCAGGTGCCCCCCTACCCTGCCAACACCACCTCCAGGCGACGGTGCCAGGTGCCCACCCCCCACCTGCCAACACCACTCCAGACGGTGCAGGTGCCCACCCCCTACCCCTGCCAACACCCACCTCCAGGCGACGGTGCCAGGTGCCCACCCCCTACCCTGCCAACACCACCTCCAGGCGACGGTGCCAGGTGCCCACCCCCTACCCTGCCAACACCACCTCCAGGCGACGGTGCGGTGCCCACCCCCTACCCTGCCAACACCACCTCCAGGCGACGGTGCCAGGTGCCCACCCCTACCCTGCCAACACCACCTCCAGGCGACGGTGCCAGGTGCCCACCCCCCTACCCTGCCAACACCACCCAGGCGACGGTGCCAGGTGCCCACCTACCATGCCAACACCACCTCCAGGCGACGGTGCCAGGTGCCCACCCCCCTACCCCTGCCAACACCACCTCCAGGCGACGGTGCCAGGTGCCCACCCCCCACCCTGCCAACACCACCTCCAGCGACGGTGCCAGGTGCCCACCCCCACCTGCCAACACCACCTCCAGGCGAGCTGCCATGCCCACCACCATGCCAACACCACCTCCAGGCGACGGTGCCAGGTGCCCACCCCCTACCCTGCCAACACCACCTCCAGGCGACGGTGCCAGGTGCCCACCCCTACCCTGCCAACACCACCTCCAGGCGACGGTGCCAGGTGCCCACCCCCTACCCTGCCAACACCACCTCCAGGCTGCAGGTGCCCACCCCCTACCATGCCACCACCACCTCCAGGCGACGGTGCCAAGTGCCCACCCCCTACCCTGCCAACACCACCTCCAGGCGACGGTGCCAGGTGCCCACCCCCTACCATGCCAACACCACCTCCAGGCGACGGTGCCAGGTGCCCACCCCTACCCTGCCAACACCACCTCCAGGCGACGGTGCCAGGTGCCCACCCCTACCCTGCCAACACCACCTCCAGGCGACGGTGCCAGGTGCCCACCCCTACCCTGCCAACACCACCTCCAGGCGACGGTGCCAAGTGCCCACCCCTACCCCTGCCAACACCCACTCCAGGCGACGGTGCCAGTGCCCACCCCCTACCCCACACCCGTGCCAGTGCCCACCCTGCCAACACCACCTCCAGGCGACGGTGCAGGTGCCCACCCCCACCTGCCCAACACCACCTCCAGGCGACGGTGCCAGGTGCCCACCCCACCCTGCCAACACCACCCAGGCGACGGTGCCAGGTGCCCACCCCCTACCCTGCCAACACCACCTCCAGGCGACGTGCCAGGTGCCCACCCCTACCCTGCCAACACCACCTCCAGGCGACGGTGCCAGGTGCCCACCCCCTACCCTGCCAACACCACCCAGGCGACGGTGCCAGGTGCCCACCCCTACCCTGCCAACACCACCTCCAGGCGACGGTGCCAGGTGCCCACCCCCACCCTGCCACCACCTCCAGGCGACGGTGCCAGGTGCCCACCCCCTACCCTGCCAACACCACCTCCAGGCGACGTTAGGTGCCCACCCCCTACCCTGCCAACACCACCTCCAGGCGACGGTGCCAAGTGCCCCACCCTACCCCTGCCAACACCACCTCCAGGCGAGGTGCCAGGTGCCCACCCCCACCCCTGCCAACACCACCTCCAGGCGACGGTGCCAGTGCCCACCCCCCTACCCTGCCAACACCACCTGCAGGCGCAGGTGCCCACCCTACCCTGCCAACACCACCTCCAGGCGACGGTGCCAGGTGCCCACCCCCTACCCCACACCACCTCCAGGCGACGGTGCCAGGTGCCCACCCCCTACCCTGCCAACACCACCCAGGCGAGGTGCCAGGTGCCCACCCCCACCCTGCCAACACCACTCCAGGCGACGGTGCCAGGTGCCCACCCCTACCCTGCCAACACCACCTCCAGGCGACGGTGCCAGGTGCCCACCCCCCTACCCTGCCACCACCTCCAGGCGACGGTGCCAAGTGCCCACCCCTACCATGCCAACACCACCTCCAGGCGACGGTGCCAGGTGCCCACCCCTACCCTGCCAACACCACCTCCAGGCGACGGTGCCAAGTGCCCACCCCACCCCTGCCAACACCACCTCCAGGCGATGCCAGGTGCCCACCCCTACCCTGCCAACACCACCTCCAGGCGACGGTGCCAAGTGCCCACCCCCTACCCTGCCAACACCACCTCCAGGCGAGGTGCCAAGTGCCCACCCCTACCCTGCCTGCCAACACCACCTCCAGGCGACGGTGCCAGGTGCCCACCCCCTACCCT